CCTAGCATCTCTGCCAGAGCAGAAGCCTCCTGCCCCCTCCCCCTTCCACCATGAACCTCAGCCACCCCATGGAGGTCCCCACCGTGCCACGGAGGGACAGGCTCTGAGCCAGCACCCCTTTCAGCACTGAATGTATTTCCTGGTGACGTAGTGATGAATGTGCACACTCACAACAGCCCAAGTCCAAAGGATCCTGTGTGTCGGGTAATGCCTGGATCAGGAGGGCTGAGAGCTGAGCAACCCTGACCGCCTGCTTTCCATGGGGAGACAGAACACAGATCCTGCCCGGTCCCTTGATTTTGGGTCAGAAGGAGAACTACGGGCAGCACTGCGTGCCACACAGGAGATGCTGTAGGAAGAGGGCATCTTTCCACGGCACAGGATCTGCTCGGGTCCCTCTGAGACTGCTCGCTAACCCCCTGCACATCTTCCAGCAGCGAGCGTGTCCTGCCCCGAAGCAGCTGAGCTGCTCTGCAGGCATACCAGCAACTAAAGGGTTAACTCTTTGCACCCACACCCAGCTAGGAACCCAAACTTCCACCTGGGACGTGCAGGGGGGCAAAATTCTCCTGCCCGAAGACCCTCTCCAAGCCCAGCCGGCTCCGGCACCCTTGCTCGGGGAGGGGACTCCCAGGGAGCCTGCACTGTTTTGCTATATGGCGTTTCTATACGGTGTGCCTGGCAGGCAGCCCGCTCCCCTTCCCAGCCACGGGGGTTTTCCATGCTGGGCTTTGCAAACTACCTCTGCTCTGGGTCCTGGGAATCGGGGCCTCTGCAGGAAGGAATTTGCTGGTCAGCGGGTTGAGCTGAGCTGCGCGACCCTGTTCCTGTTAGCAGTGACTTTAGCTTGGAGGCAGCATCCAGAAGGATTTGGAAATTCCCAGTCCCCCTGGTTGGCTCCCCTTGATGCCTTTGGTCTGTGTGAGTACCCGAGGTGCCTCTGCTGCCAGCCCTGGGCAGCAGACCCCATGCCTCGTTAAGCAGGACAGAGTTGGGGGCTTTTGCAGGGCTGGAGGGCAGCCCAGGGCTGGGTGGGCAGAGGGGTCAGGAGAGACTGTCTGGCATTATGGGGTGAGATGCCACGAAACTGCGATGCTGGAAGCCAGGGAAGTAATTTGTACATTAACTCCAGGCTCTAGTGCTGGGGTGCAAGATGCAAACATGGGAAGAATTTGGGGTGGAGGCTTGAATGAGTCCCTGCAAGCTGCCACAGTGGTTTCACTGCCTGGGAAAGGCTCACAAGCAAGACAGTCTGGTGACCTTTGCTATGGTCCCACTGTTTTTGCACACCCAGTGTGCAGGGACATCATAGTCTCTGCCTACGACACTTTCCCCTCTTCCTGCCATCTGGACATCCCTCCACCACAGGGACGCAAGGAGGGCTGGAGCTGGGCTGCCCGAGCATGGGGGTGGTTGGAGGCACCACTGCATGACATCCTGTTGCAAAGGCTCTGTACGGTGTCTGACACAGACCCTGGGGCCAGGAAGGGGTTCCCTGTAGCTGAGAAACTGCAGAGGGGCACCCTGCCTGGATATGTCCCCCTCCTCCGTTCTGTACCTCTGAGCACCGGGAAAAGGCTGGTAGCTGCAGGAGCCCAAGCTAGTGAGAAATGGGGTTATATGGGTGCATGCAAGAAATCGTGACTGGCCAAAGCAGCTGCTGGTTTTGGAGAGCCCTAAAAAGCCTTGCCTCCACCACCCAGCCCCCAGCAGCTCCTCTGTATCCCAAAAGTTTGGTCTCCCTTGTGACCCCCCTGCGAACAGATATGCTCGCCCCTTTCTCATTGCCAGACACAACCTATCTTCTCCCTGAGATGGGGGTACAAGAGACGGAGTAAGGCACTTGGAGAGGAAGCGGTGAAGGGGGCTCTGAGGGAAAGGAGGCCGGAGAGGAGATGGGACGTGGATCCCCAGGACGGTTTCCATGGGGCCCTGCAGTACAGACAGTCCTGCATCCATGGGCCAAAGACCGATGCCTGTGAAGGGAATGCGTGCCATCACCCTGCTCAGCAGCTCAGACCGTATTTGGGGCTGGCCTCTGGCCTGAGGATGCTGCTGCTGTGTCTTGAAAACATGCAGAGAGGCAGAGGCTTTCCAGGTACCTGCTGCCATGTCTGACGCTGGGACTAGGCAGGGCAGGGATCTGGGCTCTGTGCTGGGACCACAGAGCTCTCCTGGGCTCCTCTGGGAGCAGAGGGAGCCCTGGGCTGGAGTGGTCTGCGCTGGGGACAACCCATGACATGCCTCCCCTCCCTGCACATCACTTGTCCTGATACCTCATAGGCTCTGGGAGGACTTCACCAGTGTGGAAGACTATGGGATCAGTGCTCCTGCAGCTTCTCTTAGCAAAGGGACAGTGTCTCAGCCATGCCAAGGGTGGGCGTTCATCCAGGTGCTCAGTACCTGGGTGCTGCTGCCCAGAGAGGGTGCACAGGTAAGGGCTGGAAAGGCATTAAGTGCCAGCATGGCTGTCCTTTTCCTGCCCCTTCCTGATGCCGCTGGTGCTTTGGGGTTGGAGGGATGGGTGACAGCACATTGGATGCCTCCAGGTAGCAGTTCCCCGTGCTGCCAGGCATGACGGGGAGCTGCACTCGCTGGTGACCCGCTGCTGCCTGTGGCCTGTGCCTGCTGCACGCCCCAAGGCCACAACAGCCTTGGTGCTGAGCAAGTGTGTGGGGAGCTGCCTCCCCCCCATTTGGGCGCTGGGTACATGGGTACCCCCCCAGAGTGGGAGCTCCCTTTCTTTTCTGCACGGGTGATGGAGGAAGACCCAGGAGTGCAACCCTCGATTCCCTGCTGCCCCAGGCACCCACCCTGTCCCCGAGGAAGGCAGCGATCTGTTGCAGCTTGCTGGTCTCCTTGCCCAAGAGAGGGCTGCAGGGCAGTTGCTGGTGAGCCCGCCCCTGCTGTGACCCTCCCTGCTGAGGGGGCGAGAGTGTGGGCATCTTATCACAGCTCTGCTTTCTGCAGCAGCTGGGACTTTGGTCTCCCCCTGGGTTACTCATTGCCCTCGATAACTGTTTATGAGGGTCCTTATCAGGAATCGGTGAAAAGTCCTGGGGCTGCACCCCAGGCTGTGACAGTGGGGCCTGGGAAGGGGCTTGGCCCCCCCCGGCATTGGGGAGAGCCCGCTGGGGCTCTGCATCCCGTCAGGGCTCCCAGGGTACAGCTGACGTGGGCAGCGGGACCAGGGCTGTCTAAGGAGCTGGAGGCTGGGGTGGGGGAAGAGGGGCTGTGAGCATCGGGGTGGTGAAGCTGGGGATGGGACAGCAAAGGGGGTTCCTTGCTGGTGGGGCCTGCCCAGGGGAGCCGGAGAGATGCTGGCTCTTCTCAGAGGGGCCTTGGGGTAGGCAAGAGGCGGTGGCACCAGATGCATGCAAGGAAACTCCAATTAAATAGTGGGGAAAATGTTTTCAACATAAGAACGTTTCAAGCACTGGAACAGGTCGGCCAAAGTGGTTGTGAAACCTCCATCCTTGGTCTCTTCCAGACCATGCCCTGGTGATCACATGAAAATGTGGAGGTCTCTGGCCATACCCTCCAGTGAGCAGGACTGGTGTTACACTGGGTTGTTCAGGGCTTGGTCCGGCCACATGGCCATCTCTGTGGGTGGCCTTTGCCACCACAGGGGTACCCTCTGGGCTCCAGTTCAGCTTCCCTAGGTCCACTTTTGCATAGCCCCCATCTTGCCAGCCATGCCCAACCTGTCCAGCTGCATAGGGTCACACCATCCTTCTCGTGGGACTTGGTATCTTGTCTGCGTTAAACTTGAGGAGGTTCCCGTCAGCCCATTCCTCCAACTGGTCAAGGCTCCCACTCACCCTCAGCTCCCCACGATTAGGTATCAGCAGCATCATATGGTGGGCTGTGCTCTCTCCCCCCAGCCCCATTTGCAGCCTGACCCTCGCAGACCCAAGCCCTGCAGATGTGTTCAGCTGTTTGGGGAGGTCCCTGAAGCGGCTCGGCAGGGATGGGGGCTGAGGGGGCTGGGATATGGGGTCACCCTGAGCCCCTTCTCACCTGTGTGAGGTGGGTGTCTTGGCTTGGAAGCAAAGCACGAGAAGGGGGAGCGAAAGAGATGGACTCCTCGGTTTTGCTAATGGCTTGGCCACCCGCCA